TCTTGAAGTCTTTTGTTTTCTGTAAGGCTGAATTTTAAAATATTTTTGTACAATGCATCATTGAAACTGTTTAACTCTGCATTAAAAGCTATTTTTCTTTTATTGGAATTGGTTTGCTTTTATTATAGCAGGAGCTAGAGGCTGCAGCAAGGGCTGAACAAAAAGTCAGAATTTCCATCCACTTTGGGACAAGAAGTCAAAATATCAACACACACTGTGGAACAAAATGTTCTGAAAAACATGGATTCAGAAACAACTGAATATTTCTTCTTTTCTCAGCTGAGCACAAAAGCTGCATATTTCAGCAATGTTAAGTTGCTTGATGGGGTTTGGAGGTTGAATTGCCTATTGTGTCATTCCATCCTTGGTGAATAAGTCCATGGGTTCAGGCCCTGTCTCCAGCATCACATCACAGCTGTAGGGATGACAGCAAGAGCAGTAAGTGTACTGTATGTACCCTTCTAGATAGAGTCTAATCCAGGAGTTAACCACAGGAGATAGAGTAGGCTAAAACTACAAACCCAGCTATATAATACAGCATTGTTACAGAAACCAGGTTCCTACTGAACCAAGTTAAAATATTTTGGCTCAAAGAAAAGCCACAGAACAACTTTTTTTCCCATAGAAAATTTGGGAGAATGTTTTCCTTGTGAGAAAGCAATTTTGACCCAAAGCAGCCAGGTGGCTGTTTTACTTTTTGGCCAGTGGTGACTTGATAGTGTTAGAGGCTGTACAAACCTAACCAGACAAAACAGCGTATGTTTAGACAAATCACGCATTCCTGCCTTCATATCATGAACGGAGCCCTTTTGCACCATTAGCAGATACCTTGCTCTCTCTCATAGAGCTCTACCTAAACTGAACATGCTCAGGATGAACTCCCCCACATTTGTTTTGGCCTGTACCATCTAGCACTGTGTCTGGGCATGGTTTGGGACATTGGCTTTAAAAAGCAATACGGATGAGATCACCCTGTTTTGGGGGAGAAAATATACATGTGGGGTCTATCAAAAGGCAGATCTCACCACACCTTTTGCCCTCGGAGTCCTGTCCAGTTGCTTACACAGACATCATCAGGTGGTAACACAAATGTGTGCCCCTGTGATAGCCAGAATGCACAGTGGGTATGGGCTGACAGGAATCTTTTTTTTGCTGCATCAGTTTTAGTCCAAATCTGTCCACTGGTCCTATTCTGCAATTGCCCATCTGCTTCTGCAGGGACATAAGAAGGGGAGGAACAGGCACTAAGGAGTGCCAGGGGGCAAAGAAAGATACGACTGCAGTGTTGGCTTAATATATTTGTGAGTCTATGGCCATATGTAAATTTAGGTACTTACCAAAAGGGTTTTTGTGAACTATCATTGTTGGAGCCCAACTCTACCTTCCATGGCAAGAAGTCTCATGCGAGCACAGACCACACTGTGCCCAGGGCTAAAAAGGTCTTAATCTGGGGACTTCACTACGTGCCCATGGTGAGGGTGCAGAAGCCATTTGTTAGGTGGCTTCTGCAAGAACATACAGAAAGCCTGTGGGAGAGCAGGTAGAAAGTCCAAAAAGCCTAATGGCAGCACAAATGATTTAACTGCAAGAATGTATTTTTTCCTCTGATGGAGATTTGCCTTATTAATGCAGTCATTTCTCTGAACATTTTATAATCGAACCGAGTGCCTGGAAATGAACATGAAGTACTGAAGTTACAGAACAGTGTGCATGTCCTTAGGAACTGCAAGGAGAAATTCTAGCTGAAAAAAGCTTCACTAAACCTTCTTCCTCTAGTGAAAATTAAAGGGTTGTTTAGAACTGCCTCCCTTCTGCTTTTGTTATCAAAAGGTACATCAAATGTGGAAGTGAAATTAAAATCTAGTGGGCCCAATTTTGCAGCTAATAAAAATTTGCATAAATTTAGTTCATTGGAGTAATATTGATTTTCAGCACCTGAGGAACTGCCCCTTAGTTTTAACTTCATTTTTTCATTTTTTTAAGTATTCCTCTTATTGTGCTGTGTCAGAAAGGTGCAAGAGACAAAAGTCGGTATGAAAGGGAAAAGACATAATTCTTCAGTACCTTACAAAAGGCCATAGGGAAAACAGAAGCTTTAATCCAGACTAACCCAAATAGATGCAGGAATACATGTTTTTGTTTCGCTGGGTGTTATTTTGTGTCAGTAGTTATGTAGAAAGAATGAAAACGCCCATCAGAATTTAATCTGTTAAATAGATATTTTTATCTGTGTAGAAATACATGATTGTGAGATAGACCTATTGAGAAGATTACAAAAAGCTTATTTTTCACTAAATAAAAGGATGGCTCTTCCTTCACTTATCATCACTGTAGGTTGGTGCCATCCATTTAAAAAGTAAATACAGCTCTAAGTAAATTGACCTGCACTTTAACATATGGGTCCTCCTTGGGGTCACATAAATGAAGAAAACTGAATATGAACATGTACCCAAGGGACTAGGAGATTGTATATAGTACTTATTACGTGTAGTACTTAATTTGTTCTGGTCCATTTATAATAAATATCTATAAACAAAATGCAGTCTTAATGTCCATACTTTGGTCATCAAGCACTTGCTAAATGTGCTTTTGTGACACTTTATCAGTAGCCAAGGCTAATATGTGGTATTATCAAATGACAGGTGCACTGACTGTGTTTTCTCTTCTTTCTAAATGATAATGCTTGTGCAAAACAGCTTTGATACAGAGTACATTGATGAAATGTTAGTGAGGGTTTGGAACAGTTTTCTCTGATTTAAACCAATATTTCATTAATTGTTGGCTGCATCTACAGAGCAAAAAAAGTGTCCTACAAAAAATCAAAACAGATGAGCCTACTTTTCGAGTCACGGAGAAGTTACTATACCCCATTCCTCCTCTCCTACCAACTTCCCAAGGCTGACAGTGTCAGATGTAGCTGCCGGGTGGCCCTCTTCAGAGCTTCCAGGGTTGGGAATACTTGCTTCCAATCAAGCCCAGCAGCTGGGGAAAGAAAGGCAAAGCAGACTAAAGGAGTGCTGGGTGACGCATCAGGGGCTGCAGAACAGGTGCCCAGGCCCTTTAGTATCCATAACGTAGAAATTGCTAAAAATGCTGAGTGTAATTTGCAGTGTGTAAGAAAATTGTGGACAAGTGAGGCTTGTTTCTGCCTGTAATGGTTGCTGTCTGTGATCTCCTCACTGGATTCAGCGAGGATGTGTGAGGAGAGGGAGGGCTGAGGCTGAGGATTAGGAAAGGATTCAAACAGTTATTTTTCAAACAGTGAATTTTAAATCTATACCTGTGTAATCATTTGATAATTCAGAGAAAGCAATAAATCTTTTACTGGAACCGGTGTCCTAGAACTATTCACGGTAAACAAAGAAATGGGAGTGAGGGAAAAGGGAAGGGAAAAAAAAAAAAAAAGGCAAGCCTTTACCTGCTACCACCATCTAGTGGTAAAACAGAAATAAAGGGCACGTTTGCACAAACGATATGTGGGAGGGATGCGGCTGCTGAACACGATTAAGGAAACAGAATTGTTATCTGGCAGCCACTTGCTTTCCCCAGCTGCAAACACACACATTTATCCATCTCTCTGCTACACCCACACCCTGCTCCTGACAGAGAAAATAAGCACAAAACCAGAACTAGGAATACAAATGATCAGTCACCGAAACATTCCTCTTGACCTCAGCATCCACATTTGCTTGATATATGATCTTCCAGCCATGTCCACCTTTGCATTCATAAATATACAATAGCTAACAAATAGCTTACTATTATCTACAAGAAAATACTAGGTCATGTACATAAATGAGTGTTGCTCCCTTCCTGAGGGCTGCGCTTGGTGGAGGTAGGGAATTTAGTATGGTGGCCTCAGCCTCTTCTATCCTCACACTCCTTGCTGTATGCCAAGGGAAGCTCTGCCACCCTGCCCAGAGGATGCCCTCCATTCCTTTCCAAATTGCCATCTGTCCTGACTGTGCAGAGGAGCAGAGCCTTGGCACCTTGCTTGGACTCCTAGACAGAAGCTGGATATTCCCTCATGGGAAAAAACTGGGACTCCACCTGCCAGGTCCTTCTAAATTGCCAGTCTAGGCGAACTTCTGCCTCACAGGAATACAAGTTTATCTGTCTAAAATGCAAAGTTAAGAAATTATTTACCTTATTTAGGACAAGTATAGGGAGGGTAAATAGTAGCAGACTTTCCAATTGCCTTGCGCACTATTTTGGCTTTGAGCTGTGTTCCCTTAGCTCACAAATGAGCTGTTGCTCAAGGTGATTCACATCTCTTCCCAAGACAATGGAAAGTTCTTCCAAGCTGCCTCTGTCCCAGTACAGCTTGCTTTCCTTCCATCAGTGACAACCCTAATGCTTTTTAGCTGGTGGGAATCTCAACAGATAATTCAGCAGTAGACTTCTGTGTCTACACATGTGTAATGCAAAGAAGGTTTAGGAGTATAGTATAAAAACCAAGAACAATTTAGGTTATTCATTTTAAAGATAATAAATAATGGACAAGAATAATTGGTTGTCATGCATTGGAAGACAGAAAAAAATTGTCATTGTCCCCCAGTGACTTGGATTGAAGTCAGCTGCCGCTCTCCCATATTTCAGTAGGATTCTTGATGCATATGTATGAGTCTTTGCAGCTTCCTACAAGCTTCAGTAATTATTTCATCAAGGCATCAACTTCAGTGTCAGGTGTAATTGGAATCATGCATACCACACCTCCAGCCACCAGTGTGTTGGGCATCCTTGGATCAGCTCTTCCTCCTGCCTGAACCAGGACAGGTTTCACATGTAACTGATGGCAAAAAATCTGTATAATGTGCCTTTTCCTTCCAGACATGTCCAAGTGTAATCAGAAGTTTATGTACCTAAGTTCAGAGCATACTGTTACTGTTTGGGGAAGACTGATTTCAACTTAAAGTCAATGCCTGTAACAAATTAGAGGAATCAAGTGCCAACAATACACCCTCTAGCTCTCCAAAGGGAAAAAAAAAAACAAACCCAAACCCTTAAAAACATGCTTTGTTTTAAACTTAAGGTTTCAGACTTAAAGTTGATGCCTAAAATAGGTCAACCAACAACTAAAAGCACTTCCCTCCACTGACTGTAGCAGAAGCACAGAGCACCAACTCCAGTGGAAGATATGAAAGCTAAAGTGGCTGAAGGTCAGCTTTGGCATTAGGTGGGTGGGAATTTTCACTGCTGATGGGACACTAAAAATCAGGGAGAATAGGACAAAGCAGACATTCCCTATTGACCATCCTCTTGGGAAGAAAGCAGCGGCTGGACAACCACTGGTTCTAGAAGGAAAACTTAAGGTATAAAATCCTGACCTGAAAACAGTGCCATAGGCAGATTGGACCTCTTTTTACATCCAGATATGCGATCACTGGAAGGCCCATCACTGTTTTATCACTGTCACTGAAAGAGGTGCTGGCCCATCTATCATTAGCATCAAGCTCCAGCAAGTTATGGGGGCAGCTCTGTCCCATGTCTCAGGTGGCTTTCAAGAATTATTTTCTTGCAAACAGCTGGATCAATGCCAATGATAAATAATCCCTGTTCTCCTTTCCATCTCCCTGGTTGCATGTTGTACAGTCATTTATTAGAATGAGGCTGTCTCACATTTATTCAAGTATCTATTGCTGATAGACTTGAGAAAACAGAAAAATAATTATTCTTCATCAGGATGCAGTTGCATTTATAGAAACATTTGTTATATTTATGGAAGTTTTATCTACTTAAACACTTATTCATGTAAGTGTAAATGCCAAGAGATTCTGTAGTATTTATAATTAAAGGAAATAAGGAACTTTAAATAAAAATGACATGCATATTTGTCTCATAATAATTTAGTTCTAAAATAAGTTGCTTTTGCCATTGCATTTATTTAATTAATCTATTCATACATTTATTAATTTCAAGCCTTACTTTAGATACTCTTTCACTGACTAAATGGGAACATTTTGTATCATCCTTTGTACTGGTGATTGTATATCACTCTCTTCATGAAACACCTGGAGGTGTGTTCCTCCTTCACGGGAGAGCCACAAAGACCTTTTATCTGACCAAAATGTTTAGATGCAATTTTCTACCTCCCACATATGATTAAAACAAAAAGTAATGAATCATATTGAGATCCCCTAATTATTTTAATTAAGCAGTTGTGTACTGATGACTCAGTTAAAAGGTGCTTTTGCATTTTGTTTGCAAAAATATTAAGCCTGCATATCAGGATTTAGTCCTGTGAAGATGGCATTGTCTTTATTCTATTTTTCCCTACTGAATAAATGAAACCTTTTTTTCTTCTAGTCTGGTTTAATGAAAAATAAAGTTAATAAGACTGTTGTTACCTGTCTTCCTCTTCATCCCCTTTGTCTGTTTTTAGCCAGAGGTCTCAAAGATTATGAAGTCTTACAAATTTTGTAATAATGAGGGACTGAGTAGGGAAGACTGACTTCCTTAATGCTCCTTCTGAGTGAAAAGAATGGAGAATTCGATCATGACTCAGTTCTGGTTAATAGCAGCCACCTGGACAGCCAGCATGGGCAGTCAGTGTGTCTGTAGCCTCATCTTTTGCTTGTGTTGTCTTGTACAGCCAGTAAGTCCCAAGAGGTAGGTGGAGAAGAGATGCATGGGCAAGTGGAGGTCCTGTGTTGTGGGAGCACAGGGAACAAAGCAGTACCGGGAGCTATATGGGGCAAGTATGAGATGCTTGTGACAACTACATGCAATATGATGGGAGTGATTGTAGGTATATGGAGAAGCTCTCATTCTTGAGGTGAATAGGGACATGTGAGATGAATCCATGTGAAGCAAGATTTCCTGAGCTCCACTGTTCATGCGCTAACTTGCTTTTCTTTATGCTCAACTTAACATTATTTTTAGCATCTGTTTCCCTGCTCTGGCACAGGTCACAGAGAGCTACCTGCCTACCCAGCCAGTAATCTTTGCATCTGCTCTGCACAGGACCCGATTTTGTTGTTTTCCAGAACTGCATTCATGCTTTCGAATGCTCTCCATCCATCCTAGGGTCTTTTTATAATTTCTTTCTCATGGTCATAATTTTATAAAATAAAGATCTATCAATGGTGTATGTATGCTGCAGCTTTTTTATTACTTTTCATTTGCCAGGAGTATTTTTTTCTTGGGTGCAAATGCTTTATGTCATCTTTAGTTTTCTTTGTGTTTATTTTAACTCCCCATTTCTTGCTTGTTGCATAACAATAATTTATTATCCTCTATTTTATAGCTGCTAGATACTCAAGAAGTGCAATGTCATGTGCAAACTGCATTGGTACTTCTCATTTATTCTCTGCGATCCTACTGCAATACAGCTTTCTGAAAACTTCCACCAAGCATGTATAGAGAAAGGGGGTGGGTAGTTGCAGTAGCAAAATTATTATTATTTTTCTTTTTTCACTCTTAAAAATAAATAGTGTCCTGATGGTCTCTGATAACTGTTACTATGGGGAGATAAGCACTACTTTAGCCCCAAATTAATGAGCTTCATGTGACAATTACTTAGTGGAATTTCATGGCCTGCGGTATGCAGGTCAGATTTGATGATTCTTCTGGCATTAAAATTTATGAATCTAAAACTTCCTGTTTATCACTTGTTCTTGTAATGCTTCCTAACATTTCCAATGAGTAAGAGCCTTCTCATCTATCAAATACCCAAAGCTGAGGTAAATTATTCTGCATGACCTTCAATTCTGTTCTGTCATTTTAGGTCCAGTCTTACAGATGTTGTGTCTCTAAAGCTCTCAGTACTTAGGAATTATGGGTGCCTAGGGATACCAGCCTGAGCATTTGATATGCTGCCTTAGCATGAAAAATCAGGTGGCTTGTCCTAGGCATAGGTTGCTTGCCATGTAAAATGCTTTGTAACTAGCTAGTTTGCAGGAGTAAGTTATCTGTAAGTCACAGGAACCTTTTTGTTTTGTTTTGTTTTTTGTTTTTTGTTTAACTGCTGGTAGAAGCAGTAGGTTTCTATTGATACATTTAGGAATTTATTACATTTGTCTGTAGCCCCTTCTTCCGTTAGCCCCTGCTGTAAGATTTCTCCTACCACCCAGGGTTTTTCTGACTGTGTATCTGGACCCACGACTCAGCTCTGATGCAGCACAACTGCATAACCTCCACCCAAACTGCTCAGAAAAATCTGTGTGAAAGTCTGCATGTAGATAAGAGAGGTAAAATTACAGGCAGAAGCAGGATTGTTGAGATAGGATCAGAAGTAGCTGGAGGATTCAAGGAGTGAAACATCAGTATGGAAAGGTGTGACAAAATAAAGGAAAAGCTTCAGGGAGGCTGGTCGTGCTAGTCAGGGCTGCTAGTTGGGAAGCATCAGCTCATTGGGGCAAATGATGTGCCATCAAGAGCAGATGGACAAAGATAACCCTGTGACAGTGAGGACCTGCTCCAGAGAGCTGCAGAGGCCAGCCCTGCCCCTCCTTGCTCAGGCCTGCCTCCCAGCAAAAGCTTTCAGGGTGCTCTTAAGGGTGGGGAACACATTTATGCTTAGTCTTACAGCTGGCTAAATGCTACCTACCTGCCTCTCTCTGTTTGCCATGAAATAAGTGCTTTATGCTTTGAAATTGTTTTTTTATCTTGCTTGCAGAATCCCTTGTAGCAGGGTAAGGATGCTGGAACAGATTAATTTAGGAGAGGTTCAGAAATACTTTTCTTAAATGCCAAATTCAAAACTCCCAAGTATTTTTGAAAATTGACTTTTTTTTTTTTTAAATATTTGTTAGCAGTTTTTAAGTCTTCATTCTGATTTTCCCAATTGTCATGATCCTAATAAATGCTCTTGTCCTTGCTTTTTTTCTCCTTCTACTGTGTGTGTTGTATCACTCACGATTTTGAGACTGTTCTTAATTATTTGCCTTTTTTCTTTAGGAATTTCTGCAATGGTCTACAGTGGAAGCTTTAGGTAAGAAGCAGAAATCTTAACAAAAACATTTGTATTATCACTGGAAAAGGTGCTTGGACTCCAGGGCTAGATCCTGGAAGATGACAGATAGGTTTCTCACTGCTTGACAAGCATAAATCCAACTTAAAATTGCTCTAATCAAGCAGCTGAAGATTCCCCAGAAGGGATCTGCCAGTGAAAGAAAACGATCAGAAATCAGATGTGCACTCTTTCCAGGTTGCCTGACAATTGTAGGTGTTCCTAAAGACCCCTTTATTATAGGCTTGTGGAAATTAAACTTCAAAATCATGAAGAAAGCCTCTTTGAGAGGGCTCGAGAAGGGAGTTTTTTGCTTATCCAGAGCAGCACTCAGACACACAACCCACAGAGAGACCAACCAGCGGCTTCAATTAGGTGAAACAATCACTGACTATTTGGCAGGAGAGCAACCGCTTCACTCCAGAACTGCCTTATCAAAGTGACTTTTCAAATGAGTGATCTAGACAGAAAGTTTGAAGGGTGGGGTGGAAACACACAGAGGGAAACAAAGAAACATAAGGGACAGATCCCCAAATAGGCTTGTAAGTCAGAAAACTCTTGAAAGGTTTTCTTCCAAATATGCGGGGGGACAAGATGGGAAAACAGCTTCACGGCATATTTAATATGTATTAGGATAAATCAGCATTGTTAAATGAAAATAGTATGGTCAGTGATGGAAAGGGGCTGTTGTAATAATTTATAAAGACAGACCTTCACAACTCTCAGCATAAAGACAAGGAAGGCAAAGAAAGCCAAGCATTTTTCTCATAATACTGGGAGGAAAACTGCAGTCACAGAAATAAGACATACTCTCATGGGCACATGGGTTATTAGTTTTTTATTAAATTTCATTGTTCAATCAGAAGCTCTATTGCTTGCTAATGAAGGATCATTTTTAGCAAACATTTTTATTATTATATGATGTGTGTATTATTGCATCATTTTTGTTAATGTTGAGTACTAAGAAGTCATGAAAGGATTTTAAATCTTATTATTTCAGGAGCATTGAGTTCTCTCTGTTTGCTTTACTGTTGAAGTTTTTAATTTTTTTCCTCTAGACCCAAGTGCTAAGAACCTGTCTCCCTCAAATTCTTAATTACTTCAGCCAAGGAGTTTAGGAACTTTAAGAAAAACACCAAATATCAATGGGTCAATTAAAAATGGCAAAACTGACAACAGTGATATCTCCTTAAGCCATGTACAATGAAACATGTCATTGTACATTTGAAGAGCAAAATACCCTTAAAGACTTACTGTTTAAATAAGGGAAACAAGCAAATGGTTGAAGAAAGGAAGATATTCTCACAATGTCTTAGCTGTAGATTCCTGACAGACTCACCCAGGCAGACTTTATACAATGAAACACAGAAATCGGTTGTTTTGCAGTTTGAAGGAAGATTTCAGTTCATACGTAAACCAAATATCTCTTGCTCTGATAAATTTTTTCTCTGGGCAAAACTAAATCCCTTTCTGAATGCAGTAATTACAAATACAGTAGCCATCAAGTCCAGAGCAAGAATGGGATTAAGAGGAAGATGGTTGCAAGATTTTTTTTAGTCAATTAATTTCTGTGGGTGGTTTAAATAAGATTGCATCTTGCATTAGCTGTGTCTTTTATCAGTACGTTCACTTACTCTTCTGATGTGTGAAACAAGGCAATAAATCTATGTAAGAATGTAGAGGTCCAGTTCATAACTTAAAGAGAGAGAGATATTGGAAAAAAAATATTAGTTGCTGGTTTGTTTTCTTTTTTAGCAGACAAAATTAATAGACATTTTTCCACCTCAGTGGTTAAATCTATACCCTAACCACACCCTTCCTTCATTTGGGAAGCACAAGGAACTTGTATAGGTTCTGAAGATGACTTTCTTTGAAGCAGTCAGATAAAAATACTGCCTTTTTTTGGAGGCTGACATGGTATTTGACTGATGAGCTAAAATGTTTCATTTCATTTTGTCCCTTAGGGAACTGCTGTCCCAACAACATCCTTTCCATTTATTTATTTATTTATTTGACTTTTTTTTGACTTGGTATTCCAGGCTTTTACAGTTTGGTCAAAATAGGACAGATAAATCACAATTGCTGGAAAATGAAAAGGAAACGTATATGTAGATAATTGGATATATACATATAAAAATGAATTTACAGAAGAGATGAAACTATTACAGTAGAATCTGATAATTTTAACACTGATTTTTTTTAATCTGTATCATCTGCTTTCTACAGAAGTACAGTATATTTTGACAGGTACAAAAAGCTATTAGTAAAAGCTTCTCAGATTTCTAATTTTTTCACATACAATATAGCTGGTTAG